CTTCACATAAACCATATTGATTTCACTCTCTTGTAAAGTCACTAGTGCATAATCCACAATTCATGATTGATCCTATCAAATTTGTTTTAAAAAAAAAACATTTTCAACGACATATGAGCAATGAACTATGGCTCTTATATGAGCAAGCCTATAACTTCTGATTGGCTTTGACTTCATACTAATTGTACTTATGATATAGTTTATGTGAAGAATTTGTGGATATTTTAAGGTAACCCTTTAAAAAAAGGTTGGATAACATGTGACCTCTAAAGTTGGCACTCAATAATACCCATTAGCCCCAGTCAACCAAGAGAACTGGACAAACTGGATTATGGATGCCAAGGTTCGGCTATATCTTCTAAACCCACAGATTTGCAACACTGCAAAAGATTACATTTCCAACACAAGACATATAAATATAACACTTACTCTGTTTTCCTTCTCAGTTTGTCCTCAAAAATATCATTTAAATTAATTGCCACTTGTCCCAGAAACTTATCAAGCCCAACAAGAGACCTGTGCATGACTATCAGGTAGAGAATGTATTTTTCAGAGTTCCCTTCCATCAGCAATCCAGGCAGCTCAAACGAAGCTTCTTCTTTCCATATTGGATCAAGGGTCTTCTCCGCCACCGAAGTGGAGTACTTCTCTTTTCCCAACTGTATGATAGTGTATGTATCATTAGTGCCACTTTTGCCCTTTGGTTTGAGACCTTTGGCCTGAAGGACTGTGGCTTGCACATGAGTTGGGAACCACTTTTGAGCTTGCTCGGCCAACATAGTAACGAAAGGGGATTTTGAGTAACAAGAGCCACAGAAATAAAATACTGGGTCAGAAGGTATATTTCACAACAGGGAAGCCTGATAGACCCTTTCAGAGAACTAAGCAATTCTCATTTTTTGAGATTCTTATTCATCCCAGCAGCATTAAAGGAAGTGGGCCACGTTCCCTAACCTAGCTGACCAAAGTTTCTTCAGATTCTTTTCTCCAAATGTTAATTTCCAGCATACCTCTGCAATCCTAGAGATAGTCCTGCTTTTTCCACACTTCTCTACACAGGGCGGTATATATTTGATTTTGTCCTCTTTACCCACCCTTATTTTCACTCACACCCAAGGCCGACCGGAGACTAACGGGCTTTAAATTAAAAAAAACGAACCAACCCTACAGCCTCCCTCCCCGCTTTCCCCAGGACAATTTGGCACTTGCTCTGGCTAGCACCTGTCAAGACTCCTCGGCATCCTCTCCGGCAAATCCCGTTCGCCGAGCACCCTGCGCCTCTTTACAACGCGAGTAGGGTGGCGGGGAGGGCAAGAGTTTGGGTCTGCCGAAGGCACGGAACCAGCTCCGGCCGAGGTAAACTGGACCTGCCCTACCGGGGGCTCTGCCAGGCCGCCCTTCCCCGGTAACAGCTTTTCTGGGGGTGGGGGGTATCCCTCGCTATCCCCGGTATTGGGGGGGACGGGAGCGGCGAGAGGAAGAACGCCTCGGAAAATGGGCGAGTCGTGCGGAGGCTCAGCAGCGCGGTGGCCCAGCCGCCTCCCTTCCTTCGGCCGAAACGCTCCAGCCGCCGAGCCGAGGCCCCACTTCCGCCTTCCCCATGTTGCCTAAACGGGCGCCGCTGAGTGGGAGCGAGGGAACGGCGCCGCCTCTTTCCTCGGGCGGTCAGAGGGCGAAGGGTAGGGTTCAGGCGGGCCAGGCGCTTCCCCTGCCCTGCCTCGCCCGGCTTCCAGAGGGGGCCCCCGAGGGGGGGGAGGGCGGGTGCGGGGGAGACTGCCCGGGAGAAATCCCGAAGGATGGCGCCGTCCCTTCCCTCACAACTCGCGCAGCCCGGCGGCCTCGCGAGCCGCACCTCAGGCCATCGGACTGAGCCCCTAGGCGGAAGGCAGGACCGTCCGCATAAGGACCGCTTCCAAGCTGGGGTGTATCTGGTGGAGATTTGACTTCTGCCTTCTTTCTTTCTTTCTTTCTTTCTTTCTTTCTTTCTTTNCAAACCACCCACTTATGCTAAGGTGGACTAGTCCAATACTTTTGTTGGAAATGCAGAAAGGCAGCTTCCACTGTTTTAATATCTACAGCTAGCCCTTGATTTCTAACAGCAATTGGGACTGGAATTTCCGTCAGTAAACCATTAAATTAAATTAAATTAAACGGTCATTAAATTAATCCTATGGTTGTCAGACAATGCAACGTTGTGAGAACTTCCCACAACCAAGTCAGAGAGAGCAAGATGGCTTGCATGCAGGCCGGCAAGCAGAATCTAATATTGTACACATTGGCCAAAAAAACATAGAGTCCACTCCAAAACCAAGTAAGTTTTCTCACTTCAAGAAATTTGGATCTGATGTAGAACTCCAACCCTTACAGTTTGTATGTTCCAAATGTCTACACTGGGTTAACTTAATATCTTAGCCCAATACAACAGATGGAAGAGGAACTCTCTCAAAAAAAGGAACAGACTGTATGCTATTTTTTAAATTTTTCTTTCTCTATCTTTTCATCTGTTTCACTTTGTGCTATGAAGTACAACCTTAAAGAATATAGAGTTTTATTTTTAATAGTGGAGAATATCACAAACCACAGGGAATTGCATGAGAAGGTGATAAATGGCCTTTCTAGCTTCACCAAATGAGTGGAAAAAGTGTTATTATGGAATGCATAGCATAATATAATTTGAAACTATTTAAAAAATATAAAAACTGACCATGTGTTAAAGTAAAAATGAAGTGAACAGTTTGTCACTGGCCAAACACAATAGCGCATATAAAAGAAATGCTTCTTACATTCAATGCCATAAACATTCTGTAGATTGGCACTTTTTCTGTCTAGAAAAATATGCTTCCTGATATGCTTCCTAAATTAAAAATATGTTTGGATTAAATATATTCATTATATAATAAACATTTACCCAAAAAACCTTATGACTGTTACAATCAGACTACATGTTTAGACTGCAGTCCTATATTTATATTTGAGATGTAAATCTTATTTAAACGAATCTACCTACTTCTACCTGCCTACTTCTGACTAACTTAAAATTATCAGAAGACAGTGCCTTTCTTTGCTAGTACCAAAGAAAAGCAGTATGTGCAAAGAGTTAAGCTTGTCATAAAATCATTCATATGATATATATTTAACTCCTCTGAATTATTTCAAACTACGTAAATATTGCAGATCCCAATGCTAGTAGATTTATGGGGGAAAGCACAACTGAACCATTAGGTTTGTTACCTTGAGTGAACATGCTAAATAGATTCTGCCTGTTAATGATGCTGTGTATCTGCCACTACAATGGCAGATGATATACATGGCACAGTGAGACAGAAGATTAGAAATACTGTATTGTTTCTATGTCTTATCGTAGCCATTAACTAAAAGCTGCACAATGCAGTAAATTATGTGGGAGTACAATCCTCATTATTGCCTTCAGAAACTTAGCAAGTTTCCAAATATGTTAAAACCCAACACTATGATTTCAAACATTTGGTCTTCCCCATTCCCTAGTTTATTGTAAAATACTACCTGACCAAGAGTTTGGAACAGCTTGAAAACTTAATACTTTTTTGTGATTTTGGTAGGCCTTAATGAAGATACTAATCAAGCATGTTGAGCCTAATAAAAGTATTGCTCAATTCTGGACTAGTCCGGAATACTTAATATACAGGATTAAATAACACAAAAATATTATAAACTTAGCATAAATGCTGTTCACAAAGAAAATAACTTTTAGGTCAGAACATAACAGTTAGGTCATAGTCTCTACTTAAAAGGCCAAGATATGAACAAACTGCAGAAGAAATAAATAAAGAAATAAACAAAGAAATAAACTATATCTACAAACAAAATAAAGGTATTTCATATCATTAAAATGGATAGTGATTGCCCAAATAACATCACTATCCCTCCGGAATGTTAAGGTGAAATTCAATACTTCTTTTAAAGACATAATTCTATTTAAATTAATTTGCCATAAAGTTGACAAGAAAGCATGTTATGTAAGATCTGAAATAAGTATATAAATTCCAAAATTGGGGTATTCAAATATTGTGCAGTTTACTATTTAATATTCTAATACCAGTTTGACCTTAATCTTCACTTCAAAATGGTGGGGAATAAGGGAGGCAATGCAATACAATAAGGCTTATCAAAAATGTTTTAATTGTCAAATGAAGATATTTAGAAAATATTTGCAAAATATTATGTCCTTCCTGAATGTGTAAATAGATTCTTCTGAGATAACAATCTTAAAATCTCTATATAACATAACTCAAAAATTAACTGCAGTATGCTACGCTTGAGATAATTAGGTAATAGGGTAGAAACTGGGAGACCAGAGGTGGGTTCCTACCAATTCGCACCTATTCGGTAGAACTGGTTCGTCAAATCTATCGAACCAGTTAGAAGAGGTCCAACAAGGGAACCGGAAAGCAGGCCACACCTACAGAAGAGGTTCCAAAAATTTTTGAAACCCACCACTGGTCCTTGGATATGATTATTCTACACTATCATGCTCATATTTATAAAACTCAGGGCCTCTGTGAAAGGTAAGGATGACGACTGCGTTTGTGGTGCAATCAGAACATTGCGTGTGTTGAAGTTGTTTTAACGCAAACCAAAGATGCCTTTTAAAAAACAAGTTTACATCATATTCTTATGCATGCCAGTGCTGTGTGTGAGGTAATTTAAGGTGGTTCTGACAAGTGTCATCGGCATCTTCATATCCAGTCACATGGGCGGCAAGCCATTCCCATCCGGTCACATGAGTGGCAAGCCACTCCCACAAAGGAGGCCACACCCACAGAGTAGGTTCGAACAATTTTTGAAACCCACCACTGTGGGAGACCATGCATTTTTAGTTCTACCTTAGGCACAAAGCCAGCTGGGGAACCTTGGACCAGTCTCTTTCCCTTAGGTCCTGAAAGGAGGCAGTGGCAAACCACTTCTGAAAAATCTAGTCAAGAAAAACTGCAGGGACTTTTCCAGGCAGTCTCAAAGATCTGGACAAGAGTCAATGGAAGAAGGGTGGGGGACGAGACTCTTTGTTTCAGAATTTAAATAATTACATAAATAAAAATGGTTTATGATAAAATCTGTGAAACTTCATTCCAAATTCAATTCACTTTTTTTAATAGCCAATACTCTACTTCAGTGGTTCCCAAACTTGGCAACTTTAAGACTTGTGGACTTCAACTCCCAGAATTCTCCAGCCAGCCAGAATTCTGGGAGTTGAAGTCCACAAGTCTTAAAGTTGCCAAATTTGAGAACCACTGCTCTACTTCACTACTGCAGCTGAAAACATAGCTACACCTCACTACTTCCCAACTAAGTGGCCTTTTAGGAGAATAATTGATACTTGGGACAAATATATCTACTAAGAAAATGTAAACATTTCAGAATGGTCAGAAGGAATACTTCTAAATGTTGTTTTCCATATTCTAAAAAAATTAGAAAATTAAATATATCCCAATTCAATAAAATAAAAGCTGTATCCATTATCATATCTCTGAACTAAACTTGTTTAATAGTGTTTATTAAAACACTGCATCAAAAGCTAGATAGCATAGAGCAGGGCTGTCAAACTCCTGACTGGTAGGCTGGATGCATCATGCGTTGGCCATGCCCATGCCCAGTTTAGCTAAAGGGGGGAAAGTCCAGATACATCACATGACACCGCCGTGATGACGTTTGGCACCCATCGCATAGGAGTTGAAATGGTCATTTTACTCTGTGAGATTTCCATTCAACCAAGGAGCTCACTGTGCAATTTTAAGCAGTTACTCGAAGCCAAACCTCCCAAATACGATTTTTGTTAGGGGCATAAAACTGTCTTGTTAGAAAAAGAAATGTGGAAATATAAAGTAAGTAAAGAGATAAATGATAATGAAATAAATATAACATCAAAGAATACTGTACCTGTATTTCCCAAAATATCACATCCAAGAACATTTTTGTGCGTATACACACACATACACACATTGTAGTGTGCATGGAATAACAAGATATCATGTAACATGAGTAGAAAAAAAAAAGAAGCAACGTATCTCCAAAGATACAGCATATTCTCAGAATTAGGAATGTTACACTGTGGAAAATATCAGTGGAAGTTAATAGGCTATGATTTCAAGGCATACAGCTTGCAATCAATAAATCAGACAAGAAAGTACCACATCTCTCAAATCATCCATCCAAATAAAAATTCTTGTTCCCAGATTATTCTACCATTACTTATTGTCCCCATATATTCAATGGAGATCAAGTTACTGTACAAGCCATGATTTACAAACCATATTTTCAAAATAAAATAATCCCAAAAAACCATATTGATTTCACTCTCTTGTAAAGTCACTAGTGCATAATCCACAATTCATGATTGATCCTATCAAATTTGTTTTAAAAAAAAAACATTTTCAACGACATATGAGCAATGAACTATGGCTCTTATATGAGCAAGCCTATAACTTCTGATTGGCT